TCGAATGAACAGCAACTTATTCCGTACAACAAAGGTCCCAATTGTTCAGTGATGTGAGGGCGACTCATTTTATGTTTTACAACCAACCTTCGGTTGACTGTTTAGTCATGATAATTGCCATTAGTATTGGGTAAAATCATCAAACTTCAGCCTTCTGTGTGATCTAAAACTGGGGAATCTTTACAACCTATTACTGTTCCATTTCGTATGATTGTGTTTTATTCTTTGTTTCCTTTTGTTGCTCATATATTTTCATCAATGTGGATGGTGTTTCTAGTACAATTGTTTGACCGTATGTTTAGTATTATGAAAGAAATGAAGTTTGTGTGTAGATTTGTGAGTGAGAGAAATTTAATTTAAAATTTAAGGTAATAATTTAAAATTAATGAAAGCAAAGTTTAACTCTGGAATTCTTAAATATTCAAGGTTGATTTGTAAAATAGTGTGACCGTAACGTTCATGCCACCTTGCATGACATGATTGGGGGATAGTGCATGCCAAGCTGTTTGCTGTTGGTTAGCTTTCAGTCCATTTTTTAATATCCATGACATGACTTTAAGGTGGATTCTTTCTGTGAGGGAATGATGAATGACCGAAAAAATTCTGACTGTTGTTTGACCATTCTGCAGGTCTGTCACGTTCCCTCAATCATTCAGCCATTACAATACATGCATTGCTTCAAGAGATAGTCTTGAGCTTGAACGAAAGCATTTAATGTGCAGTGTTTTTAACTTGGCTGTTTATAGCGAAGAGTTGGACATCAATTTTGGCGACATCTATTATAAAGTCTTATGCGTACTGTTCCCCCTGCGTTATTTCCGTTTGAAGTTAGAACTGGTACGAGAACAGCCAGATTTTTGGGGACCTTTGTTCGTCGTGCTGATGTATGCTTTGCTTTCTCTTTACGGACAATTTAGCGTAAATATTTTGCTGGTGATTCGATATCCATGATTAATGTGTGAATTTGAGGTTGTTCCATGGATCATGACCGTGTGGTTTTGTGGATCGTTCATCGTTTACTTTTTAACCCGTGTCATAGGCGGAGAAGTATGTTTTTAAATATTTCCAGGTTTAGTGATAAGGTAATATGTTGATTTTGGATTTATTTGGCTGACTATGGTCTTTCAGTTTAATCTCACATGACTGATGGCGTGCTATTCTAGAATTCAAGCTCACTGTTAAACCGTACAAAGTTCAGAATCCTAAATAAGAGATCACGTTCTGGTATGGGTATCACGGTGGGCGCTGCCCTAACATTTACGGTTGTCGTGAAGATTTATCGTTAACCCAACAGGGTCAGATATCAAAGCAGTTAACGAATGACTAATATCGCATAAACGAAATTTGTAAAGAAAACGGATAGCCTGACCATAAATGAGGCACAAGAATTGAAAGCCGTTATTCACATTAATCCTCAAAGTGTCGTAAAATATTTTTCATTACGTCTACCCCCTGCACAGAGACAGAGCAGGTAAATGTTTCTGGTACTCTACCGACCATTAGTCAGAGTTTGTTTTATAGTCGATTAGGATTTTTATTCTATTAACAGTTTTGGATATACCATCTGCTTACCGCCTTTTATGGACTGATTTTGTCGTCGCAGTAGCAGGGTATCCTTTTCCAAAAAATTACTATTTGATTAACATAACTGCTTCGTGTTTGATTTAAATTTACATATCCAATTGTAAAAATACAAGAATAAATTGGCTGCACCACAGCTTTCAAACCTTCCTAATTCTTCTGACGCGAAAGCAGGTTCAAATAGAAGAAATTGCAAACTCAATTTGGCTCATGACGTATGGATGTAAATGCGGCACGTGTCTTCACTAGATGATTTTACTTAATCAAACTGGAAGATTTTGACTAGGAAATATGGGGATAGAGCCAATGACGGGCAGCAGTGTACCCATTGCATTTAAATTCATGCTAATTTAATAGCCGTGATCGAGGGTTAACTTTATGCTAGATTACAATCCGTCTGAACGATCGATGTTTATTGGTATTAAACTTTGTGCTATTTTAAACAGCATTGATTAGCTGCTTAAGATACTGTGTCTATCAGTTTTTATTTGCAACTTGCTATCCCTTTCGGGTTGCAAGTGCAGCCACTTCATTAATTTTTCCTAAAATGCCTGACCCATGACAAATTGGCAGACCCCGCAAGTTGGCTTCCAAGAAGTATGCTTCTTAGGGCGCTGATATGTAACTCTTCTGGGACAAAGTATTTTGTGTAAACTTTATTTTAGCCCTTTTTAACGTGATCTTGGGAAAAAAGCTAAAAAGTTTATAACCGTTGGAAGGTTGGTTTTCTTTGCACGTTCATTATGGAACTATTTCTCGTACCTTTTTTCATGAAGTTAATGCTGTAGTTGTTGTCCTTCATTTCCATCTTATCAGCCAGCAGTGCCTCATGTCGCAGACAAAGTCATTGGAAACATACTTGTATGGATTTCTGTATTCTTTCCACAGACTGGTAATCATTTATTAACGTTGCAAGGAGGAAATGCGAGCGACCTGACCGGTGTTCTAGCTCAGGTCATTCCGGTTCTAATTCGGTAGCTTTACCCGGTTTTAGGTATTGGTGTTGGGGTATTTATGTTGATTCAGCACCGAATTTATACCAGGAGATCATAGATTCGGGTTTCAGTTGAATTTGCCTTTCATCATTCAAGGTAAGTGAGTGACTGCCACTAGACAGAAGAATAGCAGTAGGAAGCATATTTAATGACGATATCCATTTGCAGGTATTGCTTTCAGAAATTTTCTGGCTGATATCATCGGAACAAAAATCAGCTCTTTACCGTAAGCCCAGTGATGAAAGGTATTTGAAAGGGCGGCCATCATGGAAGTTTAGGGAGACTGATATCACTGCGGTAAAACTAAAAGAAGCGGCGCAGACGGTTTGTTATTACATTACAGTATAGACTGTTCTTAATCACCTTTGGGCAGATTATAATTCTTGTCGGTAATGGAACCAAAATTAATTAATGTCACGTATCATGATGACAGTATATTATGATGCTTCCCTATGTCTAAAAACACTGTTTCTCTTAATTTTAGTGTTCTGAAGTTTGTTTTGCATGTGCTGTGGCATGACATTGGGAAAGATTTATTAAGGATTTGTGCAGAACTAACCGTGGGTCATATGGCAGTATTGTCAGTACCCATAAATAGCGCCTTTTAATCATGGGAAGTACCTCTTATTTCGCGCATCATTTTTTCTATCAGAATTTTTACAGATGGTGTCGCTCAATTCTTACGCCCGGGTTCTTGATAACCGTACGTCCTTGTGCTGGGCAGGACTGTTTTAAACAAAGTTAGTTAATCTGTCAGCTCCAGGTACTGTTACAAGGCTTGAACCTTCATGGCTAAAGTAGTAGCTAGGAGTGCGCAATCCCGTAATGTAATCGTTGCTCATTTTCTGCGAAGGGATGCTGAAAACGGGTTCACAGAATGCGCTTGGACATCTAAAGCGGCGTGAAGCGTTTCTCTTAAAATCAGTAGCGTGCCTATTCAATTTTGCTGCAGCCCAGACTTCCACTATGCGCTTGTTGTTGATAATATACTGAGAAACACACTATCTTAGTCTGCAATTGTAACGCTACAGCAAAATACGGAAGGTTGATTTCTTCTGTCATAAGTACGCGGAAGCTTCATATCAGTTAATGCTAGCGTTTTATTCTTTGTGTATTAACTACCACTGCACATTAAATTTGAAAGGCTTTTTTCTCAGCGAAGAGAATTTGGCTATGCTTGCTATGACGAAGGTATCTGTGTCTTTTCGGGTACGTCTGCCAGTCACATCCTGTGGCTTACTGAGTCGTAGGTGTTGTTCATGCCAATGCTGTAGCCTACACCTATTTACCCGGTTGTCGTTTATCTTTGAGAGTTTTTTGTGAGTAACTGTTTGCCAGATCATTCAGAGTGTCAGCATGAACTGTTTCCAACATCGTTCAATCTTCACCCAGCCCAACGCATATAGAAAAGTGGAACACTCTGAGGTTTTAGTCGCGGAAAGATTTCATTGGTTAGCGGGATCTAGACCATCTCCAGGCCTTCACGTAGCAGGATTATTTTGTGGACGTATGTAACAAATCAGCGTACTGTAGGGGTCTATCGGGTGATGAACTGACATAGGCATTTTGGTTATTATTTAAGGTGACTTCTTTTGCTCGGTTGTGGCATTGTCTGCATAAAATTGATTGTTTTCAGTCACTCTATGCGTTGCATGTAACGAAATCGTTTTCACACTGTTAATCGCTACTTGTTATGCTGCGTCAGAATAATGACTGATTTTAGGTAAGCTTCTCACAATGTCTTGGAGTAATTGGATATTGCATATTGCCTCTTGTCGTGCTCATCGTGCCTCTTTCCTTGGTCACTAGGTTCCCAGCTATAAGCTCGATTTTGAAGGTAATAATCAATCCTGATATTTTTCTGTGCTCTATATTTTCATTTTTGCAGGCACTTGGAATTTTCTGGGCTGTGTATAGTGCCACTGTTTTGCTGTTTGCCGAAGAAATGCGTGAAAAGCGAAAACTTCTATTGTACCCTGTTTTTTTGCTTTATTTGTACTTTT